AACAAAAAATAATTAACTCCAAATAGTTTCAAAAAGTATAGTGTAAAACGAAATTTATTGAATAATTCCACATAAAATGGTATACATAAATGACTCATTTTCTAAACGATTTGAATACAACCCATTTCATAACCTTTTTTGTGCAAACGGCGTTTGCGAGTTGATAGAAAAGTACTACGGATTGTAAATTTCTGTTAACTATGAGGTGAATTAAAATTTTCAACCCCGCCTGACGGTTTTGAAGAACTTTTTTGTTCTAATTTTATTACTAAGGCGTCTAATAAATGCATGGCTTTTAGTTCTAGAAGAATAAAAGTCTGTAAAGAGAAGTCTTTTTCGTATAATTTCTGATTTTAATTGCTCAACTTCTTTTGCACCACAGCAACTGTCAAAAATCTCCAGCAGTAAAAAGTTACGAATTGGCACAGCAGAAATGTAAAATTTTCTCGCCATAATGAAAAGTTTTTTCAACAAGGAACTTTTCTACTAATTGACATGAAATTACTATCTCAACGCTCGGAGGGCTGCCACTGAGGGCCTTTGCCAACTGATAATAAAGAGAAAATTTAGAAAGACCAAACAAAAATTTTGAGATTTCTCGTTGTCAATACGAATGCCATATTTTTTACCTGGCTCGTGGGACTACGCAAAATTTTGACAGCTTGTAAATATGTATACACATAAAGTTGTTGGCGGTAATAAAGAGTCAAAATCAAACTGGAGAATAGAACAAAAAGCGTACGTTAGTTGTCAGTTATAAAATAAATCCAATTTATTTGCGAATATTTGTTTATTCTACTTATTGAAAGGCAACCACGCGGAAAAGCTTGTGTTAATTATATTGATAACAGAACCTGACAGCTCGCGCCTAGTATGCATTAAAATTAAATAAAGTTGAGTGTTTTAACTATCAAAGTCTCTCCATGCAAGCAAAACAAAAAAAACCTCAGGAGTACACCAAAGGAAATTATTGAAAAATTATGCCTGGAATAATTGCAGCACAGTTCATAGTTGTAAACATGCAGTTGTAAAAATTTCAACCGAAAAATATAAGCTACCTGCTGTAAGCGAATATTTAGGCGTCGAGTGAATTGAATTATCACGAACGAGTGTGCGGAAGTGTAATCATCATGTTATCGCTGAATCATGATTGTAATGATAAGCCAACTGTCATTGAACGACCAGTGTGCAGAACGCCTAAGCGATACTGCAAACAGTATACTTATAATTTCCACTGTAATGTGGCTTAAACTTATTACACGCCACCACTGTAAACAGCTGACATTTTGGCAGTTGTGCTGCCGTAAAAAAAAAAACAAAATAAACAAGTTGGCGTAAAAATTTTGCAGTTGGGTAAAATGCCAAAATCCTAAAAAAACCCATCAAAATATTGTTAAAATGGATAAGGAACCAAAGCAAGAATCTAAAGATGTACCCGCACGGCCATTTAAATTATAAGTATTCATCCCATGCAGGTGTAAACGAAACTTGAGCAGAGTGGAAGACACGCCGGTAGACCGGTGCCGGCGTGCTGAAATACAAAAATAAATAACATTAATTTAACAATGTTTTTAACTATTCTATTTTCATATATGCACGGCGCATCAAATTGTGAGCTTGACGGGCATCAGTTTCGAACGGAAGAGCATAATAGTGAGTAGCTTGTAAAGTTTTTGTTGTTCTTGCATTCGTCCAGCGTATAGAGGGCTTCAGTGCAACAAAGCCCTGAAATGCCAAATTCATATGTAATCCGCTATAGTTTTGAACTGTGATTATTTCTTATTTTCCAGGGTGCTGTGGAGTTAACGATTGTGCCTACAAAAGAAAATTTGCGGTTGATAAGGTTGAATGCCAAGCAGTGCCGCATTTATCGAATACTTTTGAATGATGTGTGCGAGGCGGAGTTTTTCTACTTCGATCCCTTCTTGGATATCTGTCAGGGAGATACAAAAGTGTAGGATCATCGTATTAAGCTACCCTAACATTAATTTTCAATAATTTTTTAATAATAATAATAATAATAATAATAATAATAATAATAATAATAAATTTTTTTTAAGACGCTCACTGGATGTGTATTCCAAAAATCACTTGGCAGCCGCGCAGAAAACAGACCCAGACGTCAACTCCGGCGAATTATTGATACAAATTCCACCAGAGGGTTATCACATGATCCAAGAAGGCCGCGGTTTGCGAATAGGAATAGAATTCTCGATGGAGGACCCTCAAGGAGGCATACATTTCGTCATTCCACCAACAAGTGAGGATGAAATACTGCCCAATAGTGCACATATGTTCACGTATGCATATGAGAATTCGACGCGTTTATGGTTTCCTTGTGTCGATAGTTTCGCAGATCCTTGCACTTGGAAACTCGAATTTACTGTGGACAAACACTTAACTGCTGTGTCTTGCGGTGAATTAATCGAAGTTGTTATGACACCAGATTTGAGGCGTAAAACATTTCACTATTCGCTAACAACACCTGTATGTGCTCCAAATATCGCACTTGCTGTTGGCCCCTTTGAGATCTACGTCGATCCACACATGCATGAGGTCACACATTTTTGTCTACCACAGCTCTTACCACTTTTGAAAAATACAGTGCGCTACTTGCACGAAGCATTTGAGTTTTTTGAAGAAACGCTATCCACGCGTTATCCTTTCTCCTGCTACAAACAAGTTTTTGTAGACGAGCTTGATACAGATATCAGTGCTTATGCCACGTTGAGCATAGCTTCTGTGCATCTCATGCATTCCATTGCTGTCATCGATCAAACTTATATAACGCGTACATTAATGTCGCGTGCCATAGCAGAACAGTTTTTTGGCTGTTTCATTACATCACATCATTGGTCTGATACTTGGTTGGCTAAAGGCATTGCTGAATATTTGTGTGGCCTGTATTCACGAAAGTGTTTTGGAAACAATGAGTATCGGGAATGGGTTCAATCGGAATTGGCGCGTGTAGTGCGCTATGAAGAGCAGTATGGTGGAATTATACTTGATTGTAGTCAGCCACCGGCTCCACTACCAGTGTCAAGTACGAATCCTGCAAGTGCGACTAGCAAACAAACTGAAATCGTGCATTATTTTCCTATCAAAAGTTTACATACGGTTTCGCCTAAATATGTCGAAGCAATGAGGCGTAAGGCTCATTTGGTTATACGAATGTTGGAACACCGCATCGGACAAGAGTTACTTATACAAGTGAGTTTTCTGTTTGTTTTTGTTTTATAATTTCCAATAAAGGCAAAAAAGCCGTTTCAACGTTCAATTTTCCCTCATACGATCGTAAAATCTAAACAATCAACTTGCATTTGCAGGAATTCAAATAATATACATGCATTCATATGCATATATATATGTATGTATATGTATGTTTCTTTAAATATGTTTTCCTCTCAGGTTTTTAATAAACAACTGGTGCTGGCTACTAATGCAGCGGTGACAAAAATTGGCTCCGGTTTATGGCATCACTTGCTTATTTCCACCAATATCTTTATCAAAGCTATTTTCACTGTAACTGGCAAGGATATGTCTGTTTTCATGGATCAGTGGGTGCGTACTGGTGGGCACGCGAAATTCTCTTTTACTTCGGTGTTCAATCGCAAACGTAACACAATTGAACTAGAGATAAGACAAGATTTTGTAAATCAACGAGGCGTCCGTAAATATAATGGACCCTTACTGGTACAACTACAAGAACTGGACGGCACATTCAAACATATGCTACAGATTGAAAATACTGTAGTGAAGGCAGATATTACTTGTCACTCGAAAAGCCGACGTAATAAAAAGAAAAAAATTCCACTATGTACGGGAGAAGAAGTCGATATGGATCTCTCTGCAATGGAGTAAGTATATGGTTTCCAAAGTTTTTTACCTACTTAGAAGGGGAATTACTAAATTGCATCTTTAATTTGACAGTGATTCGCCTGTACTTTGGATTCGTCTAGACCCAGAAATGATTTTAATACGCGATCTAAACATAGAACAACCCGATTTTCAGTGGCAATATCAGTTGCGCCATGAGCGTGATGTGACGGCACAGTTTGAGGCTATAAAAGCCTTAGAGAAATATCCAACAAACGCAACACGTTCTGCACTAACGGATACGATTGAGAATGAACGTTGTTTTTATAAAGTGCGCTGTGAGGCAGCACATTGCCTTACGAAAGTGGCCAATCAAATGGTGACACAATGGAGTGGCCCACCGGCAATGTTGAATATCTTCAGGAAATTTTTCGGCTCATTTAGTGCACCCCATATAATTAAACAGAATAATTTTGCCAATTTTCAGTTATACTTTTTACAAAAAGTTATACCTGTCGCAATGGCCGGTGAGTATTTAGGATACATTTTAAAAGTAGATAATGAGTCAAGGTTTTAAGTCGGAAGTCCGCAGCATGCGTATATGTTTTTTTTTTGGCGAAGACGATTTGGGACTTATTTTTGTTTCTAATTAAAATATCCAGCAAACAATCTCTTTCACCCAAATTTTTGACTTTCTTGTTTAGGCCTACGCACTTCGCATGGTATTTGTCCACCCGAAGTCATACGCTTTCTCCTGGATCTCTTTAAATACAATGATAACACGCGTAATCACTACTCAGATGTTTACTATCGCGCTGCTTTAGTTGATGCCTTAGGAAATTCCATAACACCTGTTGTTTCCGTCGCTCTACGTGGCACACCAATTACTTCGGATAGTCTTTCCGCAGATGCCAAGTATAAAAACTAATATTTATAAAATTATTTTGTAAAAATACCGTAAATATTTATAGACTCGTACTTGAAGAGGTCACTCGTCTACTCAATATGGAAAAGAACTTACCTTCATACAAATATATGGTATCTGTTTCTTGTCTTAAAGTGATACGAAAACTACAAAAATGTGGCCACTTGCCTTCGCTGCCGAAAATCTATCGCTGCTATGCTGCTTATGGCCAATATCTTGACTTACGTATAGCGGCTATGGAGTGTTTAGTGGATTTCGTAAAAGTAGATGGTCGTTGGGAAGATTTAGATCATTTGATTACACTGCTTGAAACAGATCCCGACCCAGCTGCACGGCATGCACTTGCACAATTACTAATCGACAATCCACCATTTACGCGTGAGTCACGTAGTAGCCGCTTAGATCGGTCAGAGTTGGTAGAGCGATTGTGGTCAAATATGAAGTAAGTGTTTTTTTATTCTTACATACTTAGTACATGTGTATATACAATTTATTGAAATATCAAATATCACTTCTTACTTGCAGTAACAAACTGGCGTTCGATACGAAATTACGTTGTGATATGGTGGATTTATATCATGCGCTATATGCCACAAAACGTCCCTTGTGCTTACAATCGGCCGATGTCAGCAACATGTACAAAGAAATCATTAAAGAAGGTACCAAGAAAACCAACACTCCAATCAGCACTGGCTCTATTAACGACGTCACTGTAACGCCGCCTCCAATAAAAGAAGAGAAAGACGAAGTGGTTGATATTGTCGAAGAGAAGACCACTATAACATCACTGAAACGCACAGCTACCGAGTCGTTTGAAGTAGGCAATGAAATTATCAAACTGGAAACAAGCGAAGAAGTAACTCTGGTTGAGGATAATGCAATTAAAGTGGAGTCCTACGAAAATGAAATAAAAGTTAATGTTGAGCAAGAAGCTGATACATCTGTGCACTCACCTGAGCCGAAACGTTTGAAGAGTGAAATCTTCGAAGAGGATGACAATTCTGTAACAATTATCGATATTGGCGAGACGACTATAACAAAAGCAGATAGCAGTTTTGAGGCAAGTAAAACCGACGCCGAAAGCAGACATAAGGCGGAAATCTCATCAAAGGTATACGATGGCATTAATTCATACGACTGTGTTTGCACTTTTGATTTCTTTAAATTTTTTTTGTGTCTGTAGCAAAAAAAGAAAAAGAAAGACAAAAAGAAGCACAAACACAAGCATAAGCACAAGCACAACAAGGAGAAGGAGCGTGACAAGGAACGTGAGCGTAAGGATAAAAAAGATCCCAACATATCGCGCATCCAAGCTAAAGAAGCTACGCCTGAAACCCTCAGTTCAGCAGATAGTAGCAATTCAAATAGCAATCCACCAACGCTAAATTTTACATAAGCACACTACAATATAATAATTATTTTTTATACAATTTACTTTTATATACATTCAGTAATTTGCTAAAATTACACGCAACAAGTTTGTTGAGAGCTTAAAGTTTTCTAGCAGCATTTTTTACAATATACATACATATACATATATGTATAATAATAACTTTAATAAAATTTGAACTACGTTTTCGTAAAATGCATTGCTAAAATGAATGTATGATAAATGTCTATGTATGATTTTTTTTTTATAAATTCTCTACTATTATTCATTTTCAAATGCTGCATAGGTTTTACTTGAACGTCATAGTGTTTCGTTTGTTTCGAAATATACGCGTACTCTATGATATTTAAAATTAAAAATTACATACATATAATTACATAATTATAAATAAATGTGCATTAGAGTGCCAACTGAAACTTATTTAACAGCAAGTGGGCCGTTGCGCAATATTCCGTACGTTTAATTCTATTTTATTGTATCAATGTTTGAATATTAAATATTGATGATTTTTTTCTAATGAATGGGTAGACCAGTTTTGAATAGTGGATTTGTTTACCTCCCTATTATGAATTCGTGCGATGCTTGATAAACGCTTGCATTCTGTTATTTTCCATTATGAATCTATTTGTCGTATGAAATCCGATAGTTAGCGTAGCTGATTTGTGCTGATTCGCAATGAAGTGAACAAAAACCACATCCATTCACAACAATACATCTGTCGGACGTATGAAAATGATAGTACGAGATCTGATTTCACACGATACGCCTGCAAGCGCTTATCGTATATCGTATGAAAATTGATAATTGGGGGTTAGTTGAAGTTAACTTCACTGCATGGCAAGGCATTAGGCGATTTCGTTACATACATAAATTGATTAGGTTTCAAAGTAAACATAAATTTCATTCCATTTTATTCATTTTGTCGGTACCAGTACACGACTTTTTCATAACTTCTTTCAAAATCATTTCGTGACTAGGTTCTAATTTTCCCAAACTAGTCTCAAAATTATCCTGAAGTAGTCTTACAGTGGTTCTGAAAAAGTAATGAACTTGACCCGAAAGGATTTCGAATAAGTTATGAAACGGTCCTGAAATGGCCCATTACTAGTCCGAAACTAGTCCTGAACCAGACCCGAAATGGGCCTGTACTAGTCCCAAAATGGTCCTGAAACAGCTTCGAAACGATACCAAAATAGTCCCGAGCATGCCTCGAAACGGTCGTGAAATGGCCCATTATTAGCCCCAAAATAATCACGACTAGTCCCAAAGCGGTCATTGCCTAAAATTTCCACTCGACTAGTGTATTAAAATGGAAAAACTTGGCAGCACTGTATAGTTTTCGACGATTTTGGTCGTTTACTTATTTCATTACGACAATAAACAATGCTACTGTTGTCGAGTCGTACAATTTAGCATAATTTACGACTTACGCAATGAGGCTAATAATTAGGAAAAGTTGAGTTCTTTCGGTGCTAAAAGAGACAAAATTACCGAAATCCTTGAAAGACTCGCAACTTTACTAGTCCAGGAAATGAACTGCGTAAATTTATATATTGTTCATAAATATAAATTTGAGTTTTCCACGGTTAGACCCAAACTCTTTCGATCTTAACGATTGATCAAAGTTCAAAATCCGAACGAAGTCTTTGAACACCGAATTAAGTTAGGTTTAAGACAGGTTTGCTAACGAGCCATCTAGCCATCGGAAGGCATGCGGAGAGGTTAGAGGTCCCCCATAACTAATTCTGCAGAAGCTGCAGAGTTGACGAAGGCCACCTGTTATGCTAATACCACACACTTTGTAGAAAGAGACGAATGCCATGGGTACAGGATTATTAAAAGACTTAACCTACATAGACGAGGTAGGCATACGATGGTTTGGGTAGAAGGATTCTAATGATCCGCGCGGTATCACAACGGGGCCACAAGCTAAGGGTCTAGGTCTGCTAGTGGGGTCACTGGCAGCTACTTCAACCTAACCCAACCTAACCTAGGTTTACGGCAATCGACATCATGCATAAATCGTGTGCCTAAGCTCAGACTCAACTTTTGCACTGATGGAGTGAGCTTAAGCTCAAGAATTTGCACTGAAAATTGAATCGAAGCCCAATATATGTATGCAAATAAAAAGTAGATTCCACAAAAATTAGTAAGGATTCAATCCTAAGCAATTTTCAAGCCTTTCTTTTAAACAACACCACTACTGTGCCTCAAAAGTGGCCTCAAACGGGGTAATTTCGTCAAGATTCAGAGATCCAATAGCGAAATTGTTGATCGACTGCTAGTTATGAATCTACAGTGTGTCCTAGACCACCCGTCCACCCTCTCTAAAATGGAGGGAAATGGTTTTTATTGAGATACGAAAACAAATCGGGGATGCTCCATCTTCCGGTTACGACCGGAAGTGGGATGAACTGACCGGAAGTCTACTTTTTTAAATCCGCTTTGCTTTAATCCCAGATTCCGATTCTGCGCATAAAAGTACTTCCAGTCTGTAAATTGGTATAAACCCAAAGTCGGTAATACAACCAAAAGATAGAGCATCCATATATGTTTTTCTTTCGTTTTCCAGGGCGAGTTGCTGTTTGAAGGTCATTTAGAGGTTGAAAAAGGCACTTACGAGAAAAAAGTTTCAAACAAAAGTTATATATTTTTATCCTCAGAACTAGGTTCTGTAGTAAAAACATGTACGTTTAATTAAAAAAAAGGACTTCTGGTTAGTTTAACCCACCCCCAGTCGAAATTGAAAGTCGGTAATACAACCAAAAGATAGAGCACCTTGATTAGGTAAGCCATATTTTTGCGTTTTTCAACAAAAAATATTTCCATCCATTTTAGAGGGAGTGACGGGTGGTCTAGCACACCCTGTATATGTAATTTCAGCTGTCGAAAACACATTTAGAGCTCCGTACTAAGTATTCAGTGCTTTTCGTGTCTTACCAATCTTATAGCTGAATGAATCGCTAAAAAATCTAGAGGGTCAAGACATATGATATGATACAAAGAACACCGGTAAATTTTTTTGAAGAAAGCTTAGGCCTGGAAAGCCTACAAAGCCTGAACTACTTACAAAACCTGCAAAGTGTGTAATGACTTTTTCCTGGAGTGTCTTTAGATTTTTTTACTACTTGCAATTCGAATTATGACCCACTTTAGTTGTTTTTTCATTGTTGCTAAACATTTTTAAATTTCCGGCTCGCCTTGGCTTGATGCCATGCATGTTCTGGGACTATACTAGATTCTTCGTTTGTTCGACAATTCGACGATAAAATACAGTTAAAAGCTATTGTTACATTTGTAAATGTATTCGCACATTATTGTTTGGCTTCATCCGTATTTCCAGCTACAGCCGTTTCCGCCTCATCACGTGGATGCCTTTTTTGTTCGGCAACTGGGCGCAGGTAGGTTATATTTCCACCACCGATAGCCGTCGCAGTTTGTGCATCTGCCATCGCGGACGCAACATTTGCTGATGGTTCAGAGGGTTGAGCTTGCAGTAATCTACGTGGACCATATTGCTGCGCTATACGTTGCATCAGTTGCGCATAGTCCACTGGTTGATTGCGGAATTCTGGATGTTCTTTGATATACTGCTCGTAAGGTACAGGTATTGGCACGGGTACAGCCGTAACTGGGTAGCCAGCATCGATCAGAGCTTGAAATTCACTTTGTGTAAGCGGCTTGCCGCCTGGTTGTGGCAAATGTAATTGACGTACGTCTTCGATGGACTTCGTCTTGACCGCATTGCTACGCGATGGTGTAGCGATGCCTGTGCCTTGCGCGACAAAAATGCTCGATTGCGATGGTGCTGGTGGTGGGGAAATGTATTGCCGGCCTGAGTGTGTTTGTGGTGGTGGTGCGGGCGCTGGAGCTGAGTAATGATGTGCCTGTACTTGCTGCTGATGCTGAAGTTGTGGTTGTTGTTGTTGTTCAGCCGTGGGGGTGTTTGGATCTGGAGGGCTGGGATGGAATTGCGCAGGCGAGCTCTGACCACTGGGTTGTCGGTCGTAATCGTAATACAAATGTGGGTTAAGGTATTTAGCCGCGGCGGGTACATTCGGGTAATTTGGCGGCTCCTTCTCGCGCAATTTCGGAGAAGAAGTAGAAACTTTTGAGCCGTACTTATTCGAGCGGTGAGTTTTGGGTCTGGCCGTAGGTGTCAGTTCCTGATAGAAGTATTGCGTGGGCTGTTGTGACTGTTGTGCAGGCGTGGGTGCTTGAGTTGGTGGATAGATAACTGGTCCCAATTTCTTGGAGTCGACAACGTGTTGTGGCACTTGTGTAGGATAAATGGGTGTTGGCTGTTGTAAGTTGCTAAATCTAAACAAAGAGGGTATAAATGGCTGATTGTTCGCATCTACCAGCGGTGTGGGTGTCGGTTGTGAGTTGCTTGGTGACGAATAAATTTTCTGCTGCACTGCATATTGACGCGGGCGCGGTATGGGATGTGGCGGCAACTGCTGCTGTGGTGGTTGGTGGTGCTGATGCACTACAGCAGATGGTTCATTGGAATTATCCGTTAGCTGAATTGGCGAAGGTTTATTTGCGGCTAGCAGCTTTTCAATTTCATTCTCCAATGATGACTTGGCAAGCGGATGATTTGGCAATGTTTTGTAACTCACTTGCGGTTGATAGTAGGCTAGCTGAGGTGGTATGTGTGGTGGTGCCTCTGCCGCCGGTTCGGCTGCTTGTGGCTCAACTTGTTGCGGCTGCAGTTGATGCTGGGGCTGCGGCAGATACTTAGGTCCACCGCGGTGGCGTGGCACATACTGCACATATTGGGGTGTTGGCTCTTCGGCAAGCGATTGAGGCTGTAGCTGCGCTTGTTGACGGTAGCTGCCTAAACCTTGTCCGATGCGTTCAGTAGGATGTGGCAAGGGTTTAGTGGGTAACGGTGCTGGTGCAGTTTGCTGCTGCTGCTGCTGATGACGATATTGGGCTTCGTGAAAAGCACGTGCACGTAGCTCATCTTCCAAAAGTCTTAGGAACTCTTCTTCGGGTATAATTTGATAGGCTTGTTGTGGTGCGCTAGGTTGGCCTGCGGGTGCTAATTGTTGCTGTTGCTGTACTGGCACCGCAATATGATAACGTGGCGCGATCTGTTGTGGTGGCGCTCCATAATGTGGCGCCTGCGCGGCTGTTGGATTGGGTGGCTGTATGGCAATAGCATATTGTTGTTCGGCCTCTTCCGCATTGCCACGATACTGTGAAGCAGGTGCATGAGCACGTCCTGACTTGAAACCTTTCTTCGATTGTTGCGCTGAATGTGTTTTACCGGTCAGTTCCGTAGCGGCGGAAGTAGACTTCGGGCGATTGCGGTTGATGTCTTGTAGATATGCAAAATGTTGAATCTGTAATGAGAGAGAAGGTTAATGTTAGTATGCTTGCTTTAATTGTAATTTTCATTTAAAACTAATCAGTTAAGTGCAGTTAAGCGAGGCGATGTCGAGTCAAATTGGGAAAATTTCTCCGAGCCGTTGGAGACCAAACTTTGTGTATTATTNAAGGAACTCTTCTTCGGGTATAATTTGATAGGGTTGTTGTGGTGCGCTAGGTTGGCCTGCGGGTGCTAATTGTTGCTGTTGCTGTACTGGCACCGCAATATGATAACGTGGCGTGATCTGTTGTGGTGGCGCTCCATAATGTGGCGCCTGCGCGGCTGTTGGATTGGGTGGCTGTATGGCAATAGCATATTGTTGTTCGGCCTCTTCCGCATTGCCACGATACTGTGAAGCAGGTGCATGAGCACGTCCTGACTTGAAACCTTTCTTCGATTGTTGCGCTGAATGTGTTTTACCGGTCAGTTCCGTAGCGGCGGAAGTAGACTTCGGGCGATTGCGGTTGATGTCTTGTAGATATGCAAAATGTTGAATCTGTAATGAGAGAGTAGGTTAATGTTAGTATGCTTGCTTTAATTGTAATTTTCATTTAAAACTAATCAGTTAAGTGCAGTTAAGCGAGGCGATGTCGAGTCAAATTGGGAAAATTTCTCCGAGCCGTTGGAGACCAAACTTTGTGTATTATTAAACATTTTTTTATTTAGCTTGAGTGCATTATCTTCAAGGCTGGGAAGCTTGAAACAAGTCTGAACTATCCGTGCATAGATTGAGCCAACAAAGGTTAGCCTAGCGGTGAACGACGATAAGAGAAATTACCTCAAGAGAGTCTTCACCCGGTTTTTGGCGGTGGCTTCGATGGCCGAAAGTGGGAGTGCTGTAACTGGTTGTGGACCGAGCCAAATGGTTACATGGCTCATTACCGGATACTACCGAGGGACCTGGAACCCATGGTAAAAAAAATTTCACTGCGTTTTCCAACATCATCATTCGAGACTTGCATTGCCAAACTAGCTTGGAATTAGTTAGAGGGCTGGCCAATGCCTTAAGCGCAGCTTTGCTGCCACTGAAGACCTACTTTCCCCCACGTAGACCATGGCCTTGAGGATTGGATATACCTCAGCCGAAGTGTAGACGCCAGATCCTGATTCAGCCATCAGTAAAGATTCTGCAATGTGTAAGCTAGCACTCAGCAACAGGAAACTCAACATTGTAGTATCTTTTCAGCAAAAGCAACGGTGGCGTACTATATTCAAGTCAAAATCTCCGGCTGCAGCAAGTTCCACCTCTCTCCACACTGTGTCATACCAATATCTATTTCTTTTAAACTTACAGGTGGTCTTAAGGACCTTCCCACGCATAAAAGTATTAAGTGACCATTATATGTAGGAGCAGAGCTGGGCGATAAGGATTACGATTACTAAACGATTACGATTACAGTAATCCCAACAAGCTAAAAAAATAAGATTGCGATTACAGTAATCCTTCATCGAACGAACTTAGATTATGATTACAGTAATCGTAATTTAAAACCAGTAAGAAAGTCTAAGTTCGGGCGGGGCCGAACATTAAATACCCGGCGCATGTATTACATATATGCCTTTTCACCTTTCCGAAAGCTACCGCTACATGGTAAGCCGGGGTGTANTGCAAATCCGATTATGAGTATTTTCATACAGGTTTAAATCCAGAGCATTTCTCTAAGTGACAGACCCCACGTTTTACCATAGACCTTTTTNTTGAACGATTACCGCAATCCTAATTTAAACATTTTTGTAATTGCGATTAAAGTAATCGTAGTCCTAGACGCAATCGATTACACATGTAATTCTTATCGCCCAGCTTTGTGTAGGAGAAGCTCCTGTACAGTGCACTGCCATCGTTCTTGGAAGCTTGGCAAGCAGATTTCATACGATATTGATAGAGTCTGCTCCACAACACCACAGAGCATTTCTCTAAGTGACAGACCCCACGTTTTACCATAGACCTTTTTACATTGCCAGAACGCTATTTAGGCTTTGGTGGTCTTTTGCTCAACGTATGTATTCCACTGTCAAACCTTTACTTCGTCACCTTTCTCATGTCTCAAAACCCATACGTAAAGATTTTTGGCCCTACTTAGCGAATTACAGTTTTAGTGAACATTTTTGAGAGCAACAATCTCCAATAAGTCATTTTGAGTGGAATCAGCTGAAATA